CCGACAATTCAGCGGCATTAACAACGTAACGAAAGAAATCGGAGTAAAACGAAGAAATTGAATCATTACCAAATGACTGAGGCCAAAAAGACAGCCGAAATGACGATGAAATTGATCGAAGAAACTCAACAACAACATCTCGAGGACGATTATCGGGAAGATTAGGGCACTGCGAGAGAAACCTAGCAACGGCAAGAACAGCATTGAGCTGAGATCGAGAAATTCTCAGCGATCCAGACGACGGAGACTCATATGAAGGACAACGACCACAAATCCAACCAAGTTTCTCCTTAAATTGCTCCGGATTCTTCGCAATCAAGTCGCAAAGCTCTGTTAAAGCTTCCATTGATGATCATACAAAGAATAACCTAGAAATTGCAGCAAAATTGGGGGAAAATTGTTAGGGTTGATAGCAAAGATCAAAGGAATTGGATCGCATGAATGAAATTGGGGGAAAATGGGGAGGAATGAGCTAGGGTTTAGAGAGAAGATATTGATGAGAGAATTGAAGAAGGTGAGGTCATTTTCATGGCGTTAAGGTATGGCAGTTTTCTGCCATTGTTTTACGGTTTTGGTTTTTGGGGATGAGGGAAAAATGGAGGAGAGAGAAAGAAGGAAGGAGGGAGAAAGTCTTGTTAAAATGAAAGCACGATATGATATGAGTTAACGACTTGGATTACTTCCTTAATTTGTTATGACACGTTGTAAGAAAGTGGGATAATTATAAGAGTATAGAAAACAAAACGAGATTAAATCTCATCTACATTATGTTGTTTGATAATTAATATTCCGTATTACGTACTTGAAATCGCTAATACAGTATAAGTTTTTTTTTTAAAGTATTACTCCGAATAAGTTAGTAACATAATGAGAAACATGGTATAAACATAAGGAGTATAACTAATAATTAAGAGAGTAGTCATATGAAAACTAGCGGTTTAATTTTTAATAAAAACCAATAACTCATTAACAATTTCAAGAAATATAATTTTAAGTATTGAATGACAAATGGTGTAATTAAGAAATATTAGAACATTTCTAGCATTTTCTAAGAAATCGCTTTTGTTTTTTCATAATATAATTATGATATTCACAAATGATCATTGTAATAAGGTTAGGGATTTGTTTTTTCACTTTACCTAAAGGTATTTTGGTATAAATTATTTAAGTTGGTATATATTGGTGTGGTATAGTCTTTTTATTTATTTTATAGGTAAGATGAATGACCCTACTGAACCGACATCTCTCACAGATTTAGCCAGCCTAGTTCTACAGGTCACCGCTTGAGAATAGAGGAGAGAGGTAAAGAAATCCCCTTACTCCCAAGCATTTTGTAGATAGTGGGGCTCGAACTCGATACCTCAAAGTCGTAAGGTGAATTCCTCACCAATTCCACCAAACTTTGCTTGGTAACATAATTTAATATTGTCATCTTGTTTTCTTTATATGTCTAGTATAGTCTAAATTTTTACTGTAAAGTCTGTAATCTGATAGTCTGATCTAAATTTTTAAAATATAACTTGCAATTTGTTTGGATTGAAGGATATTGAAGGAAAGGAATGGCAGAAAATGAAGGGATGAATTATCTTTCGTTTGGATAACAAATGGAAAATTGAAGGAAATTGGAGGAGGAAGAAATTAATGGATTAACTTATAAGAACTTGATCTCTCCAACTCTCGAGAAATTTGAAAAGAAAACTCAACATTCTTCCCACTCTTCCCCTTTCTTTCCCGCCTTTTTTCCTCCCTCTCCTTCTTTTTCCTTCCCAATTATCTATTAAAACACATTATTGGTGTTTTTTTTTTACACAAGAATTAATTATAAGTAACATAAATAAGGTGAAGAAACAAAGTTTTGGTAGCAATAGGATATCAAGTTGCAAAGTCAAGTTTATACCAGCTTTGAGTTTATTTGATTCATGTAGATTAATGGAACTCAAAAGTAAGTTTCGAGTTGAGCTTTCAAAAGGTTTCATAATAGATGTTTTTTTGGCCTTTTTATAATATATTTCAAATGTGCAATAACAAATAAAAGTTGTTATTAGAGGACATATATTAGACTATTAGTTCGTGAGATCAGTTATTGATCAAGCTAATTCTAATATAAATGTGCATTTGGTTATTAACCTTGTAGCAAAATAAGTTACGTTGAGTTGTTTAAAAAATAATGCAATAAAGTCATAACATTGGATGAAAACAAGATTCTTTGTTAAACCATCAGGACAATTATTAATCAAAGTAGGAAATGATATGTATTAAGTTGACAACAATTTTCCCTCAAAAAATATGTGGATTGCTAAACATCGCCCGCAAATCTCCACATAAAGCCCACAAATCTATATTGAATTTACCTTATTGCCCTAAACCTAAAATAAAAAAATCTAACCCATACCCACACTCTAATCACCCGAAAATACGACAATGTTGAGGCGGCAAGGCAAGGACTTGGCGGCCACAGCGGCGGAGGGAAGGACGGCTCACGGTGGCAGGGTTTTTTTTTTAAAAAAAAAAAATTAAAAAAAAAAACAGAAGAGGTGGGGCGCCTGGCCAGGACGCCCAGCCCCTGGTGGTGGCGTCTGCTCCGGCCGCCGGAACCAGGGGGCTGGCGTCTGACCTGGACGCCTAGCCACGGTTGTGGCGTTTTCCAGAGGCGCCACCGCCGTGGCTGGGCGTCCAGGTCAGACGCCAGCCCCCTGGTCCCGGCAGCCGGAGCAGACGCCACCACCAGGGGCTGGGCGTCCTGGCTAGGCGCCCTACCACTTTTTTTTTTTTTTTTTTTTGTCTAATATTTTTTTTTTGGAAAATCAGAATTCATTTGTTAATGTTTAATATTTTTGTTTTATGTGTTAATGTTTTTATTTCTAATGTATATATTTTTTTTTAAATCAGAATTTTTTGTGTTAATGTTTAATTAAAAAAAAACAAAAACTTTAAATAAAATTTAAAAAAAATTACAAAAAGTTTAAATAAAATTACAAAAAAAAAAAAAAAAAAAATTACAAAAAGTAGGGGTGGCGTCTGGCCAGGACGCCACAGCCATGGTGGCGGCGTCTGGCCAGGACGCCACAGCCATGGTGGCGGCGTCTGGCCAGGACGCCACAGCCATGGTGGCGGCGTCTGGCCAGGACGCCACAGCCATGGTGGCGGCGTCCTAACCAGACGCCACCCCTACTTTTCGTAATTTTTCCCCCGGATTATCTCGCTTTCCGGCGACGATGACAGCTCTTCGGTGTCCCTCGGCGATCCACTCCAGCTCCACATTCTTCGTGAGAGTGAATTACGGTTTCGGTAAAAATTAGAAAAAGGGCAAAAGAGTCAAAGTAAAAATATTTGTGGGCTTTATGTGGAGATTTGCGGGCGACGTTTAACAAATCCCATATTTGACATGAGTTTTTATTTATCTATGGGGGTGGCAACTTCAACCAGCCACCCAACCATAGCTCCACCACATTTACGAGTGGTTTTAAACTTTTAATGGAATTGTGGGGATCAACTTTTAATTGAAATTCCAACAATCTTAAATATAAACATAGATTATGTTCACTTTACCTTATTTTTGTTGCATTATTAAATTTAATTAATTAAATTATTTTTGCTAAATTTAAATTATTTTTACCTTTAAAGGAAAGGCGCCATTATACTTTGAGCTAGATTCGAACCCGTAACCTCCAACACATAAAGGTCATACATCTACCATCTCAACCAACTTTTATTAATGTTTTAAATTTCACATAACATTATATATATATTCCTTTCATTTATTATGTAAATTATAGGTTATATAATTTATTTATTTTCACAAGATTAGAAAATATATACATATGAGGTAAAAAAAAAAACAAAAAGTAACACTCGAGGCAACGCCTATTAGTCAAACGTAATTATCAAATTAAAGAAATACAAACTAGCAACCCGAGACATTTACTAGACTAATACATTAGTTTTCGACATTAAATCATGTATCGAATCTTTAACATAGAAAGAATTTTAGAGACCAGATTGAGAGATTATTATGTAAAATCGACTCCTAGAAGCACCATAAATATGTAACGCCTAATAAACCCAAAAGATATAGTTAAACACTTAAACTTCAAAATTAGTTATTTTTTTAAAAAAATAAAAAAAAGTTTGACGTACACAATCCCAATACTCAAACTAGGTGACCAAATTTGACTTACATGTACAAGTCAAAGTCATCTTAATTTTCATTTCAATATTATCTTTTATATGTTTGTTACGGAGTACTTGTATATCAAAACCTCCCTCGAAAACTGAGTATCCTGTGCTCTACATGAAAAAGAGGTTAAAACTAGTCTAATTTGATTTTTATAAATTCAAGTGAATTTGCAAAATAGTTATTTTTTTTTTTTGGTGTTCTACCCGATTCACCCTTTAGGCTAGTTTGGATTTGAGTAACAGTTGAATTCGATAATTAGTTCTGAGTGGTTAGGTTCCAATCCCCTCACAGTTGTTGTTGAGAGGATCGAACACGCGGTCCTCCCTTCCAAGTGTAGCCCTAATTACCATTACACCAACAACCAATTGGTTCAAAATAGTTATAATTTGATTGTAAAAATTATATTTTTTTCTCGATATAAGTGGTTTATAGTTTTACATTAATATTATAGATACCGTATGACTATTTATTAATAATAATATTCCGTTAAAAAAAAAAAGTACTCCATAACAAGTTTATGAAATAAGTTAAAGAAATAAATCATTATGGACAATGAGAAAAGTATCCTAATTGATGCGAACTTTACCTTAAAAAATACTACGAGTTCTTTGTAATAATGTTCATACTGATAAAAACCATTATATATGAAGTATAGTAAACCACAATATATAGATCCATATTATTTATAGTATTATTATTTATAATTACAATGCAAAACAATACTAAAACTAGAACCAAATTAAACTACCATATTTAAAACAAACCTAAGCGAATTCACCATGTTCATCAAACGAACAATTGATGAAGCATTGCATACCATTCATTAAATATTTTTAACATAGTACGGGCCATTCGGATCAAGTTGTTGGCACAATGCTACATATGCATAACACAGTACCCGATTTTTCGCCCCGGTTCGATGAATACCAATATGCTTACAAAAATACTTAAGTTGCTCCAAAGAACAACACCCTATAGTTTGTCCCAAGAACAAAAACAACCAATTTATAGATCTCTTTTTCTCGGATAATACAGGCTTGCAACTTTCTTTTGTCCCACAAAATCTGCACGTCAGATAATTTTTCCAATGCTTAGTCCATTGGTCAAGTGCACGGTCGTGCCATTCGTCTTGTTGATCTATTACAATAGCGGCAACCTCTCGGAACTTATCCTCAAGATCATAGTCCATTTCATAAATAGTGTTGCATTTTTTGCATTGCACTTGGCCAGAGATTTTTGTGATGTTATTTTCTATCAAATATCGTAGTGTATGAACTGTGCCACGACGGTCTCTTGCCCAAGGGTACGGGGGTTCAATTATCTTACTCTTGATAACCCTTTTTTGTTTTTCTGGTCGGGGTTGTTGAGGGTTACGACGAGCACGTTGCGGTCTTCCAGGGGGAGGAAGAGAAGGTTCAACACTCTCTATAATAATTGGCTCAATAGACTGCTCCCGAATAATAAGGTTGGGTTGATCACTAGACTCCTCCGAAATTATAAGGTCCGGAATAACGAGTCCGGATTGATTAGACTTAGGAATAATATTGTTGCATGAAGTAAGTGAGAGTGAAAGATCGAGGTTAGAACTATTTTCGCCGTCGACATTGTGTAGAGAATGAGGACTTACATGTTGGTGTTTTGTAGGATGTTCTAGAACAACTTGATCTTCTGTTCTCTTCCTTTTTCTTTCGGTTTTTTGTTTATCACCCTCCATGATTGTAACAAATACAAGTAGTATTTTTTGTGAATGTAAGGTAAGAACGAATACAACGAATCCTAAGGGTATTTATAGAATATTATACTCTGTGAACCATTAGGTCTCTTCGAAATTTGAGCTTGTAACCATATGATATACACGAATCTTCTTAATTATTATCTTGTGAAAATAATAAATAACTAACTAAATATAAAAGATAATCCTACTAATTATTATCTTTACGGTTTTGTTCACTATTCATACCGTTAAGCAACTTTTTAGCATTTTCAAAGATTTGTTTTAAGTAAAAATGTACAGTGTTAATGTTTTTTTTTTAACAGGCAAGTGCTATCAATTTTAAAGAACAAAAAATGAACGTTCTTTCAAATTGATAACACATTAACACATAATCAATATAGTTTACTATTTACGTCAAAAAGAGTGTTATGATCGAGTAGAACAAATAACAAATCAAAAATGATATACATAATTTATTTCTTAACCTGTTTATATGTTTCATTCATATACAAGTAATATAAACAATCAATTTAAGATATTTTTCAGTCAAAGTAGCTAATCATCTAAGGCAAAATTATTGATTAATTTTAGTGATCAAACAAAAACAAAACTGTAAAATTTATATATACTCCGTACAATTTTAATCAATTTTGTTGTAGTAAATTATTTTATGCAAGTTTATTATTCCAATTCTCTCTCGTTAAGACTCCTTCAAAATTCAAAATTAATGAAGTTCAATTCTCTCTGGTTAAGACTCCTTCAAAATTCGAAATTAATGAAGTTACTCGATTTCCTAAATTCATGCTAATACATTAGAGTCAAGCGAATAGTCAAATATGTAATGATAAGGTTAGGTTTTAGTCTATATCTATTTATTTATTTTTAAATTGTTAGAATTTTAGTTATTCCGTGGTATAGTGGCATATATGATAACTGGGCAACATGTTAAGGAGTAAATCAATCGATCAATATCAATATTTATAATACTAAAATAGACACTAGAAATGTCATATGCTATTTTCTGGTGTTGTTTTCCCCTCCAAAATCCCCTTTCCTGTTTTATTTATTTATTTATTTTTATTTATTTTTAGCCAATGACATTAATTACCTACTATAAGGTACACACAAAATATTCACCCAATCATATAATATATTTTTGATTATATTGATTCATATACTTTATGTTTCTGTAATTAATATTTTTTATTCTATGTAATTTAGACTACATATCTAATGGAATATTAAATAAATATAGAGTTTCCAAATTTTTACTATACAAACCAAATGTAAAATTAAATTAACTTAGATATAAAAAATATACATCTAAAAGTTAAAAAATATTTTCCAAGGAAAATTTGTGTAAATTTATTATAATAATAATAATAATTAAAGATTTTTGTGAATACGACAGGTAAAACATGTACTTCGTATTAGATTGTAGCTACTGAACCGGAAGGTATGACAAGAAAATTTAAGTTTTTTTTTTTTTTTTTTTTCTCTACGGGAGATAGGAAATGAATGAGTCAATTTCTCTTACATAGTTATGTGGAGCAATATTCATTTATTTTTTCAACTGTAAGTAACAAGTAAATAAAAAATTGATTGATAGAAAAGATAGAGAAAAGGAATTCATATATGGTTAGGAATTTAATTGAAATTTAAAACAATTATAGATATATATAAACTTTTAATTGGAATACGATTCGATTTCTAAGTGTTACCACATGAAGGAAAGTTATTGAGGCAAGGGAATGCATAACACAACAAACTTTTTTACATAAGACCAATTGAAAAAAAAATCATTGAGCCGTGGAGGCCCGGCCCAACCAGTTCCAGGTGGCTTCACCCCTACTCTGCCCAACACTGTTGGGCTTCGGACCTGCGGTTAGAGGCTGGTAGCCCACCAGGCTGTGATGCAGCAGGAATTGGATCACCGGTGTACCGTGTACTGTTAATTTGATGGGAGACAAGTTTTATTTATTTATTTAATTTTTTTTTTTTTTTTTTTTTTTCCGAGTCGGGAAACAAGTTAGATGCAAGGGCTTTCAGATTATATCTCCTTTACCCAACATCACACTTCCAACTTCCAAGTCCCACAAAACCATAAAATTATAAATGAACATTATTAGAAGTGTAAATCACAACTTTATTTTAATTACTACTGATAGATCGAGATTAAAAAAAAGTAGGTAAAATTTTAAATGGAAAATTTGTGTAAAAGGATCTTTTAAGTGGTCAATTTTGTTGCAAAGGACCTTTTAAATGAAAATTTGTGAGAAAGGGCCTTTTAAGTTGTATTATGTTGTGAGGGGGTACTAGGCTGAGTTTTCCGGGTGGTCAACGGCGGAGCTCCGATGTTGACTCTCACTTGAGAGTCACATGACTTTTTAAAAAAAAAAGCCCACATGTTTTTTAAGGAAGTATAAAAGGGGGGAAAATGAAAGGGGTAATTCGAAAGGATGGAAATTTGGGGGAAAAGGAGACAAAAAAAACATATGGGCTTTTTTTTAGAAGTCACGTGACCTCTACGTGAGAGCCAACGCCGGAGCTCCGCTGTTAACCAACCGGAAAACCCAACCTAGTACCCTCTCACAACATAATACAATTTAAAAGGTCCTTTTTCACAACTTTTCACTTAAAATTAAAGGTCCTTTTAAATAAAATTGACCACTTAAAAAGTCCTTTCACACAAATCTTCCTTTTTAAATCAATTACAATACACTCCTCAACTGATGTTACAACAAATTATTAAACCAATCAATTGGACATATACTATGAATTCCAACAATATTAGTACTCCGTAAGTAGTGTTTGGGTCCAATTTAGTCCAATTGGGCTTAGGCATTAAATGATCCAATTAAAAGCCCAAGGTCAAGGTTCATCTCTCCAATTGTGCTAAAGTCAAAGATCAGTCCTCAAGACAAGCCAATTGGGCTAAGGCCCAACTTCTCCATGTATGCAGAGGTATAAAAACCATCAATATTACATTTGTACATTCATTCAAGCAAAGCCTCAAGCAATTAATTCTCTTGCATAGTGTTCTCTTTCTACGCACTGTACTGACTTTAGCATCGGAGGGGCCTTCCTCGGCAACACCCCCGAGGCTAGTTTACGTGTGTTTACTGTGCAGGAAACCTTCGGCCCAACATTACTTGGATCGAATCTAGTCTTCTCCACTTCATCGGACCTTCGACAAGGTCCCATTGTTTTCACCCGAAACAATTTGGCGCCGTCTGTGGGGAACGACTTTCAAAAATCTTTAAGCCAAATTTCTAACCAAGATCATCTTGCAATTATCTTAGTAGCAATGGCTAAGAACCGCAAGAGCAAAGGCCTCCGTCAAGGAGCGGGCGAAAAGCCTAAAACCCCTACACCATCACCCTCGCCGGACCGGAACTCTCCCAAGGGTGCCAGCTCGGGGGGAGGATCATACAGGGAGGATTCCCTTTCTCCCGTAATTCATAACTCTCATCATAGGCCGAGTCACTCTCGGTCTAGCAGGGGTGAGTCCGATCATAGGACACATTCAGTGCCCCAAAGCCAGCCATCGACTGTGCACCCTCATTCCCATAATCGGCCGAGGACCCCTTTGACGGGGCCCAGCTCGGAGGAGGTGGCAAGAGCGCTGGCAGTGCTCATGGAGGCAATGAGGGCACAAAATATGCCACCACCTCGTGATCGAACTCCTCCGCATACCCGGCATCAACGGAGGAAGCTAGACCATGATGGTGGGAAGCTTCCTTTCTTCCGGGAACTGGAAGAGTGGGAAGAGGATACCTGGAAAAATGAAAAAGAGAGGAAAAAGAACCCTCAATTTTTCAAAGGATCCTCATCCTCCCGACCAGAAACGCATAAGAGCAGCAGCTCAGCTTCTCGGCCAGAATCTACTCACCGAGAACAACATGAGACTGTTCGCCGAAGCGTCCTCGACCGACTCGGCGGCAAGGAACCGAGCGTGCACAGTCGCCTCTCGTTCCCTGCGGCCGAGGCCCAGACTTCCCAGCCAGGGACGAAAACCACTCCTACCTCTCTAAGAGGGCGGACCGCGGTCCCTTCGGCCAGGAACAAGGGCAAGGCCGTTATGCTACCCGCCAGTTCGCCATTCGAGCAATGGATACTGGAAGAGCACGTGCCCACGGTTAAAATACCGTCGCACATCACATATGACAGGACCTCGGATCCGAAGGACCACGTGGCCTCGTATGAGACTCATATGCATCTTTGCCCCAGATCCGAAGCGACTTGGTGCAAATATTTCCCAACCACTCTCAAGGGGGTCGCGCAAGCGTGGATCTCCAAGGGAGTAAAGCAAGGCTTCATAACAGGGTGGGATGATCTGTCCTCCAAATTTAGGAGCAAGTTTTCCACGGCAAACCACCGAGAGAAGACTACTGCAGAACTCATGAGTCTGCAACAGGGGGAAACCGAAAGCCTCCGAGACTATCTGACCCGTTTCAGTAACGAGTCATCCAGCGTCTCTCAGCTGGACCAGGGGCTAGCCGTTTTTGCAATGCAGAATGGCCTTCAGCCCGGGAAGTTCCTAGACTTCATGGTCATGCATACCCCGCAGGCCTTGGAGGAAGCTCTGAATGCCTCGGATAAGTTCATCCGAGCCGAAGAATGGAACAAAGCGAAAACCCAACCTCAATTCGGGGGAGGAAAACAAAGACAAATACCCTTGTCTGAAGGCCAAGGCCATAAGGCAAAGGGAAAGTCAAAGTCCTCGGAGCAATCTTCGGCCAGCGACCCAAAGAAGGAAAAATCTGCCTCATACACAGGCAGATACGAGTCCTACACTCCGCTCTCTCTTCCACGCGCCAAAATTTACAGCGTGACGAAGGAGGAGCAGAGTTACCGAAAGCCGAGACCACTCCTAGAGTGGTATCAACGAAAAAATAAAAATCAGTGGTGCGAGTTCCACGAGTCTCCGGGACACAACACTGAGGAGTGTATCCAACTGAAGGACCAGATAGAGGACATGGTCCGGAAGGGATACTTGAAAAAATACATCGCGGATCACCGCGAGAAAAAAGAGTCCGAGAAGTCAGCAAAGGACTCTCGGCAAGACCTCGACTTCCCCCGGAAGAACAGTAAAAAGCCGGAGGGGAAATTCTCTCCGATCAATGTTATCTCGGGAGGAATATGCTCTCGGAGGGAGCACAAGCGACACCTTAGGGCTTTGACTCACCAGGTGAACAACGCTGACATTCAGTCTCCCCAATCGCCGGTGCCGAACATGACGTTCACAGCCGCCGACTGCCGGGGGATAACGTTCCCTCACGAGGATCTGTTGGTGATCATCGCCACGGTGGCCAACCACGACGTCAGTAAGGTCCTTGTTGACGGTGGCAGCGGAGCAAACATTCTGTTCCGAAAGGCCTACAATCAAATCAAGCTAAAGCCCAAGCACCTTACGCCGGTACCCTACCCGGTATCCGGGTTCAACGGGGCTTCAACTTATCCAGATGGGAAGGTGACACTTTCTATCACCATCGGCTGCGATGAGGCAGCCAGGAACGTCATGATTGAATTTTTGGTCATTGACGCTCCTTCAGTGTACAACGTGATTTTGGGGAGACCCATAATTCATGAGATCCATGGGGTCGTCTCAACTTATCATCAGCTGATGATTTACATCTCAGACGCCGGCTTCCCCGAAAGGATACAGGGCAACCAAAAGGACGCCCGAAGGTGCAACTACCTCAAGCCATCCAGTAGTCGCCCAGATGACGACAAGGATGAGGAGGAGAAAGAAAAAGAAAGAGAGCCAAGCACAAAAAAGCCGAAAGGCCTAAGTGCTTCGGCCCAAGGATCTGTACCCAGAGGTAAAGGGCCCGAAAGGGAAAAGGCTAGCTCTTCAGCTGAACAGCAAGACTCAGAGAGCCAGCCGAAGAACAAAAAGACTGGGACACCTGCTGACATAGGCAGCAGGCCAGATTATGAAGAGTCCAGTCCATCAGCAATGGACATGGACCAACAGACTGAAACAGTTGAGTTGGCCGAAGGAGACGTTGAGATATGTGTAACAATCGGGATGGACCTTGATCCGAACACCCGTTGTGAACTTATTCAGCTCCTTCGGGACAACAGAGATGTGTTTGCTTTCTCGGCAGCTGATATGCCCGGGATAAGTCCAGACCTCATCTCCCATAAGCTTAATGTTAACCCAACGTGTCGACCAATTAAGCAAAAGAAGCGGAATTACTCCGCTAATAAGAACCGAGACATCGCAGCCGAGGTCAAAAAATTGCTGGAGGCAGGCTTCATCAAACCTTGCCAATATCCAGAATGGCTGGCAAATGTGGTGATGGTTCAGAAGGCCAATGGTACCTGGAGGATGTGCGTTGACTTCACGGACCTAAATAAGGCTTGTCCGAAGGATTTCTATCCCTTGCCGAGGATCGATCAGCTAGTCGATTCGACAAGTGGCCATGCCTTGCTTAGTTTCATGGACACATTCTCGGGGTATCATCAGATCTTCATGCACCCCGACGATCGAGCAAAGACAGCATTCGTCACGAACGCTGGGGTGTACAATTACAAAATGATGCCCTTCGGATTGAAAAATGCGGGGGCAACCTATCAAAGGCTGGTGGATCAAGTTTTTGCCGATCAAAAGGGCCGAAACATGGAAGTCTATGTCGACGATTCGATCGTCAAAAGCAAAAAACCTGAGGACCATGTTAAGGACCTGGCTGAAACTTTCGCCACCTTAAGAAAGCATCAAATGAAGTTGAATCCGAAGAAGTGTGTCTTCGGCGTGAAGTCAGGGAAATTCCTTGGGTTCATAGTCAGGGAAATTCCTTGGGTTCATAGTCAGCAAAAGGGGGATTGATGCCAATCCCTCCAAAGTCAAAGCAACGCTCGACCTTCCTGAGCCGAAAACAAAGCGGGATGTTCAGCGGCTCACCGCAAGAATGGCAGCCCTCTCGAGGTTCATTTCCAGAGCTTCGGATAAGGGGTTACCTTTCTTCAAAGCCCTGAAACTCCCGAAAACAAAAGAGCTCGTTTGGGAGGAAGAGCAAAAAGACGCCTTTAAACAGCTTCGGGAGCATCTGGCTCAACTCCCAACGCTGGCTAGCCCAGCAGAAGGAGAAACTTTGTACCTGTATGTGGCCGTTAGCCCAGCCACCATCAGTGCAGTACTGCTGAAGGAAGAAAGTAAAAGTCAGCAACCGATCTACTTTGTTAGTCATACACTGACGGATGCCGAGACTCGCTACCCTCTACTCGAGAAAGTCGCTTTCGCGGTAGTAGTAGCTGCTCGGAAGCTGAGGCCCTATTTTGATTGCCATCAGATAGTGGTCTTAACTGATCAGCCGTTGGAAAAAGTTCTCGGCAAGGTTGAAAAATCTGGTAGGCTAGCCAAGTGGGCTTTTGAGCTCACCGAATTCAGCATCAGCTACCGTCCGAGGGCTGCCATTAAGGCTCAAGCTCTAGCGGATTTCTTGGCCGAATGCTCATACCAAGAAGCGCTAGACAATGAAAAGAAAGTCTGGACCGTGTTTACGGATGGATCTTCCACCGAAAACGGTTCGGGGGCAGGAGTAGTGATAACTTCTCCCGAAGGCAAATCCTTTGAGTATGCACTAAAATTTTCTTTTAAGGCCTCGAACAACGAAGCCGAATATGAGG